GTTTTTTCAATAGAAGATGAGAAACAGCGATCTTGTTTCAGGGAAATAGCCTTCACTCGTTTTGTGATGCAGCACCGACCGGAAACCAAATATTATTATATGGGTTATTACATTAGTACTTGTCCGAAAATGCGCTATAAAGGATCATTCCGACCGAGCGAACTGCTCTGCGATCGGACTTTTCAATGGGTTTGTTGCTAAGCACGTTCTTTTTTTGCGCCAGGAGTGCACTTTATGTCAGCGTAATACACCGCAAGATAGGGAACGTTGGTGTAGTTGATTAATAGTCAGACCAGTGGCCAGCCCTACTGTAGAACCTTGATGGGCCCACTGTTTCCCAACAGTCAGCATAGCGACATAGGTACCCATTCCCTCCCCCACGTTCAGAATACGTCCCACTGTTCTTTTGATACGAGCTCAGACTGCTTACTTTCGTAGTATAAAAAAGCATATATATAAAATTGGTGGAAGCAGTACAAAAATGGTTTGGCAACTTTGGCAGGCGTTTGAAAAAGATCGTGAATTTTTGCTTGAGACTCAACATTATTGCATTTTTGGAATACGACAAGCTTTTCATGTTGCAGGTGCCTCTGGATGTTTGTGATCGGATGTTGCAGGATAATGACAATAAATTCACCGTGTTCTTACCGAATTTACCGCCAGCTGTGATGCAAACACGGGATCAACTGATCTTGTTAATTGATGGAAAAGTAAGTGTGAGCAGCGCTTCTGATTTTTTCTGATTTGAAACCTAATGCATTGAGTACGCCGGGAATAATCCTTCAAAGAACAAAGTTCATTGAATTCTTTCATGCACCTGTGTCGTAGTTCGGATGCGGTTGCCCCTATCCTTTTACACGACACATCAATATGGTTTGGAGTCTCCATGGTCTCTTCATAGGTACATGTCGTTCCAAGGGTCCTTTTTGAGAACCATGCGGTTGCCGCCTCCTGGCTTCCACACGGGCATCACGTGTTCCAGACATAGAGTCCCTGCTACGGCCCAGTAGCAACTGCAGCACATGAAACCTGATGCTTCTTACGCGTTCCCCTGCACGGGTGTACACCTAAGCTAATCCTGGACACGTCACATACTTTAGAACGACTCACAGTTTATTAGCGATCACCTTCCTATCACATTCTTCTGCCGGGCTTGCAGAACGCGCAGCGCTCGACTCGTAGTCCTGCGTTACCGAAAGGTGTGAAAGATGGCACTCAGCCGGCTGCCTCGAAGCTGCATGCAGCCGATAGCGTCCATCGGGTACACCTGGACGCTATACTACTCAGCAATCTTCAAAAGGCAGCACTAGACCCCACTATAGTAGTAGTCGGAGCAAGGAGCGGCTACTGACGGAGGCGACTCCTGTAAGTACCTTCGGGTGGCCGGAGATGGAACATGCGCCGTCTGCTAGCCTCACGCCGCGATCGCGAGTATGCGCGCCAGAGCCCGAGCTCACGATGGGCCAGACGGCTTTCGTCGAAAAATGCTAAAACCTGCCACTTGTGGCGGATGGAACTATAAACCGTAGGAAATACGCCGCTAGTTTTCAATCAGG